CCGCATTCTGGGAGGCCAAACAGGTAGCCAGGGCTCCAAATTCTGGCTAGCTAGATCTCCTCAAAGTAAAGCCAGTATCCAGCTGGATGGCTAGACTCTGGGGAGCTCAACTTGCCCCTAGCTGGTAGCCAGTCAGGGCCAGAACCATGCCCCAACTCTAGATCTTTGAGATCTAGATCTAGATCAAAGATCTAGACCTCAGGGGCTGGACACCCTGATGGGCCCAGGAGCCCCTGAGAGATGACCCAAGATAAAGAGCCCCACTCTTCTGTCTACCTTCAGGAAGTTGAGCAAACCCTTCATCTACTGCCTTCTCCTAGTACTCTGGCTCTCCTGCTGTATCACACCCAACCCAAAGAAAGTTAAGCTTCTCAGAGTGCCCAGGAATGCTGTTGAGAGCCCCCACACCATGGCCCTTCCTCTTTAACCCTCAGACCACCTGGGCATCTTCCAGCAAACACAGCTCCTCTGCTGGGGAACAGGGTTGGCAGGCACCAGATCTCCACACTGACCCATGTTCTAATCCTCCCCAAAGAAGGGAGGCATGGTGCAAGGGCTTTGAAGACAGGTAAAATTAGGGAGGGCTGAGGGGTAAGAGAGGTCTTCCAGGCAGAGAAGACTAAAGACTAGAATGGTGGGGCTTGGAAGGGGCGATCTGGGCCAAGACTAGAGGCTGGGAGCCACCAGTGTGGCTGAGCGCCTACATGGGGTCTTCCCGAAGAAAGACTGAACTCCCCTCTGACCAGTGGATACCCTGTCAGAAGATTAATCTGTGGGGAAGCTTGTGGGGAAGGTGGGAGACTCAGGGTCTGGAATAAGGTGGAGATGTTAGCAAAAAGTCCAGGCTGGGTGCCTATATGGGGAGACACCTGGCACATACCTGAGAAAGGTTAGGAGAAGACAGGACTGGAAAATCATTTTTATCCCAACAAAACCTTTGCTAATCCCTTCTTCAGAATTCTCTACAACACTCTCCAGAAGTTAAAGCAGCAGCAGACCCCTCCCAGGCCTTGTCCTGTGTGCCTACCCAGAGTCACTCACTACCAAGGACAGCTCGACTCACTGTTACAAATGTACAGATTTGTACAAATTACCAATGGGGGAACTCAGAGAAGATAAGATGGCTTTTGGTTTTCATTTTTGGTTTTTAGGGGTTTTGTTTTGTTTTTGCTTTTGATTTTTAAGATTAACTTATTTTTAAATAAATTAATTTTTAATTTTTTAAAAAGTAAATTAATTTTTATTTTTTTTTTAATTTTTAAATTTTCTAAGTAAAAATCATGTTCACGGGGCGCCTGGGTGGCTCAGTTAAGCGTCTGCCTTCAGCTCAGGTCATGATCCCAAGGTCCCAGAATCAAGCCCCGCATCAGGCTCCCTGCTCAGTGGGAAACCTGCTTCTCCCTCTCCCCGTCCCCTGCTTGTGTTCCCTCTCTCGCTGTGTCTCTGTCAAATAATAAATAAAATCATAAAAAAAAAAAAAACACAACCATGTTCACTTCTACCACTTGAGCCATGTAAAAAGAGCTTTCCTGTACAACTTTTGTTTGGCTGGCCATATCTGCCAGATTTATTCATTCATTGCCCCAGGCTGACCAACCCTGTGGCTTACCTGATGCTGGGCCCTGCGCTAGGAGCTGGGAGACAAGAATGAGCCAGGTCCAGTTAGCAGTGCTAACCTTGACTCTACCTCCTGCTCACTGGGCAAGCCTGGGACCTTCCCAAACGGCTGCGATGTGGGTGTGTAACTGCAGTGCGCACTGAGGAGGAGGTTTGAGCACACACGGTCCAACGTGCCTGGCCCTGGCGCAAAAAGCTCAAAGAAGAGCAGCTCTGTTGCTGCCAGAAGCACTATAGGCTGAGCCTCTCACCACTCCCCACGGAACGTGGCTACGCTCACCTTACCTTCCCTGAGCCTCTGTCCTTGTCTGGGGCTCTGGGGATGAACAAAGGAGTAGCTCGGGGGCGTGCCAATCACACAGACTTTCCACCTGTGCCAGTGATTTTTGCGGAAGAAGGCGTGCAAAAATTAAAACACAGGATATACCTTCTGGAGAAAGGCCGAAAGCACCACATGTGAGTTTTGGACATTTCAGAGCCTAACTTACTCTGGAAGGTAGCTCAGAAACTACAAGGGACCTTAATGAAAAAACATGTTTGTGCGGAGAGAAATATTACACAACTATCCAGGAATTTGCCTCACACCAAGATCAAATTGTAACACCACTCCATCGTCAAATCCACCAACGATTCTAGCACTTTTATCTTTACACATGACCCTGACCAATTTTTTTCTGTTATTCCCACCTATATGGGTGTCTTGCATTCCTTTTAGCTGATACCACTATGTCAGGGAATGTTTTTAGATGTAAACTTAATTTCTTCTGCTAATTTTACATGCTCTCAGTTAGTGCAAAGCCTTCAAGTTTTATTTCTCTCTCTCCTGAAGACACTATAGGCGATTAGCCAAACATGTATCCACTCTCCCTTTATAGACATGACTGGTTTTAAAGTGTTTATTGTTTACTTTATAAACAGTACGGTTGAGGAGAAAAGGAAAAAGAAAACTAACTTTGGTACTGTTCTTGTGCTTACGATCCATTTTTCTGCCTTTGCTTCTAGTCATGATACACATGCATGTACAAAAGATTTGACCGCTCTTTACCAAGGATTTATGACATGCTAGCTGCTTCTCTGTCTTCCCTCCAATTGACCTCCCCCCATGGCAACCTCAAGCAGATGCTGTCATCAGCCACATCTGGAAATGAGACAAGTGAGATGGAAGTTGAGCAATCAGCCGAAGAACCTAAACTCAGACCTCCTCTCTGGTTAACACAACTCACTGCACGTGCCGGAACCCTCCGGGCCCACCCTCGTCACCTCTGTGTCACCTGCGGGCCCAGGGAAGCCATGAGCATGTGCTGCTGTTCACGCTGCTTTTGGTGCCCTGAGTCCCTGTCTCTTTCTGCCTCTGGACTAGAAGTCTTATGTCGCCTGCCACATCCAATAGGCTGTTAGCTTGCAAGTAGGGTAAAAACTTGAGATCCTTCACAGTTCCTGACACCCACTGTGCAAAGCACAAAGCCATCCTGCAGAGACTAAGACCGACTTCACCAAGAGGAAGCTCCTCCACACAGGCACCAAATCCACCTCCCCACCCCCAGGCTTTGACCTGTGCGTCCTACCCCTCACCCTGGGGCCCAAGCCTAACCTTTCCTTCCCAGGGCAACCCTTTAAGAATCCCAAGACTCCATTGCGTTTCATGTCTTCCCTTCCTTGAGTGAAGACCGACTCCTTCAATTATCCCACAGAAGTCACAGTTTGTGTCACGGCTGTGACTGCTTTCTCTGTGCTGCAGTGAGGACACCGCACAGCTCTCTGGCAGTGAGAGGAAGTCAGGCCAGTCCTCCCACTCCCTGACATGGACTGCTGCCACACGGCATGTCCCCACGGCGTGTGCACAGCTAACTGACACCACACACAGGACTCACACCTGACCTGATGTGAACAGGAGGTTCCTGGTTTAGAGCTAATGACCGTGCTGTCCCTTCTTCAAGGGTCAGACGGACTGAAGGCTCTGTGTGTTGCATCCACTTCTGTCCCCTTTAGTGATGACCCCTCAGCAGCATCCTTTCACTATGTTTCACCCAGTAAGTTAACAAAGCCAGAGAGTCACTACGACTAGAATGCCAAGCCCAGTCAGCCCCTCGAGCTGAGCTCTTGTTAAAGGGGAGCTGTCTATGCGCTCAAGCCTTCAGGGTCCACTCTAGAATCTTGTCATGGGTCTTCTGAACAAAGAAGATGTAAATTGTCAAGTATTTTTTCTTTCGTATCTATTCTGAAAATGCACTTCCTTGTTGCCTGAATCACAAAATCTGTCCGATCAGTAGGCTCATTCTGCGTTAATGCTGCTTTCTAAAGAGGAGTCGTTTGTACTGTCTCCAATGGTTTTGGTTTGTAGGGCACTTCACAGTATAGGTCTTTGTCAACGAATACCCGATGTTACAGAATTCCATCACATTAAAACTTACAAATGCGAGAGTATTTTTATTTTTATTTATTTTTAAAAAAGATTTTATTCATTTATTTGACAGAGATCACAAGTAGGCAGAGAGGCTGGCAGAGAGAGGAGGGGAAACTGCTCCCCGCTGAGCAGAAAGACCAATGCAGGGCTCGATCCCAGGACCCTGGGATCATGACCTGAGCCTGAGGCAGAGGCTTTAACCCACTGAGCCACCCAGGCACCCCATGAAAGAGTATTTTTAAAACCCATTTTCTTGTCTCTCGTGACCAAGCTACCTTTTGAATTATATCTAAATTTAAAAATCACCGTCTCCATGAACTGAATTCAATAAGGAACTTCCTCTGCTCTCAATTCATATGTACGTCTCACAACACGATCCACTTTCCCCCCAAGAATGGAAGTAGCTGGGATGCCTGAGCAGCTCAGTCGGTTAAGCGTCTGTCTTCGGCTCAGATCATGATCCCTGGGTCCTGGGAGCAAGTTCCGCACCGGGCTCCCTGTTCAGCGGGGAGCCTGCTTCTCCCTTTGCCTGCTGCTCCCCCTGCCTGTACTTGCTCCCTCTCTCTGACAATAAAAAAAAAAAAAAAAAAAAAGAATGAAGTAGCTAACATTCGTACCCCGAAGTATATTAAACATTCCATCCCCCAGGATAAGAGCTGTTAGTCCCCTGCTGCATGGCCCTGGTATGTTCTCTACACATATGTAGTGTAAACAAAGGCATTTTATTGACATCTGTACGTATTACTTACAAGTAGTTACGAAACTGGAGTCATACTGTCTCTATCCTTTTGTACTTCTGTTCATGTTGCTATACACGGTCTCCCACCCTGCGGTCCAGCTGTTGCCCACTTCTTAGGCCACAGCGCCTTGCAGGTGGAGCCACACTCAATGTCAAAGAGACCACGGAGGGCAGTGCCCCTGTGGCTTTTGTCCACAAAGCCTGCAGCTGGCTTTGACAGGAGCGTAACAGTTCCCACCAATATGGAGGGATGCTCGTCCCCGAAAATATCTCCAGTGTAATGTGAGGTTGGCGACAAAATTATGTTTTATGTAGGGATCCCCTCATTTGGCTACAACCATTACAGCGACAGAAAGGCAGAAGTGAGAAGCTATAGGAGAATCAGCAGGAAAGCAGAGAAGAGCGGAAAACCCACCGGGGCTGGGTCCTGAGAGAGGCAGGACTTGGCTCCATCTCAGTCCAGAGAGGCGATGCGGAAAGAAGGAAGGGGTCTGGCAGGTGAGGATTTCCGGTGAAGCGGGCTGTAAGGTGAGTAAGGACCCAGAAAGGAAGGTGAGAGACTGGAACTACGAACGCAGCAACAAAGAGGTGAAAGAAGGAAACCAAAGCTTCACATGTGCTCCCGGGGGTCAGGGTGGACTTGTGAGAAATCTTCCTTCTTCCAAACTGAAAAAATAATCTAGCATTGAAGGAGCTTTTATACTGTGCCTGGGACAGTCCCAGATACTTTTAGTCAAGAACAGTATACCAGTCACCAGAGGGCAATGGAAGAAAAAAGGAAGGCGGGGGTGCCGGTGTCACAGATACCCAAGCACCCTACTAGCTTTGGCAAGTCTTCAGGTTTTGTCACAAGTAGGAAAAAAGTGTTTTGTTTTGTTTTTTTAAGATTTTGTTTATTTATTTGACAGAGATCACAAGTAGGCAGAGAGGCAGGCAGAGAGAGAGATGGAGAAGCAAACTCCCTGCTGAGCAGAGAGCCTGATGCGGGGCTTGATCCCAGGTCCCCGGGATTATGACCTGAGCCGAAGGCAGAGGCTTTAACCCACTGAGCCACCCAGGTGCCCTGGAAAAAAAGTGTTTTAATTGAGGCAAAATTCACGTAACATACAATTAACTATTTTGGCATGTATGATTCGGTGGTATAGTGAATTCATAATGTTGTACCCCCTCTCTCTAATTTCAAGATTTTCCTTGCCTTCAAACACTCCGTATCCATTAAGTAACAAACAGAAAATCGAGGCAATAAAACTCTGTTGAATAGATACATTTTTGCTCCAGTGGAGGCTGAGGGAGCTGCGCCAGAGGCGGCTAACTTCTCCCAGGAGGGAGAGGAGAGGAGCTCACGGTTGAAGGAGGGACCCTCAGGTAGAGGGCAGGCAAGCCAAGAAAGAACACATGTTGCTTTCTACAAGCCGGCCTCCAGAGCTGCTAAAATGACATTCGGTGCTATCAGAGAGAGAAATCTGTGTTGTGGTAGAAAACAGGCTACCCTCGTCTCTCTCCCTAACAGAGAACTGGGGCCAGCACCCTAGCAGGTGGCACTCCTGCCCGTTTTCTTTTAGGTGAACACATCAGCGCGCACCCTCTCACATGCCGGGATTTATACGTGTGGTGCCATAACACGTTTATTTTTATTTACCTTGCAGTGTGCTACCGACTTTATCCTCATCACCCATACACTTAGCTCCTCAATCTTCATAATGGTTTGGATGCACCACAATTTCCTTACCACCGCCCCACTGCAGGGCATGAACTCCTCTTCATTTGTAAAGATGAAATCAATAGTATCATGAGTGTCTGCGGCAGCAGCAAAGACCCAACATACGTTTTTAATAAAAAACAAAGCTACCATGCGTTTCCAAGAGCACCGGCTAGCTCCCCTGGCTGAAAAGCAGGAAAGCAGAGCTGGCAAGGCTGCGGGGAGCCATGAGGACATGGTGGCAGCACCCATTGTGGGAAGCCAGAAAATCAGAAATGGTATTTCTTCCATTTTCTTTTTCTTTCTTTTTCTTTCTTTCTTTTTTTTTTTTAAAGATTTACTTATTTATTTAGGAAAGGAGAAAGAAGGCATGGGTTCGGGGGGTGGCAGAGGGATTGAATCTGAAGCAGACTCCCCAGTGAGCAGGGAGCCCCTTGTAGGGCTCAATCCCAGGACCCTGAGATCGTCATGACCTGAGTCAAAAACCAAGAGCTGGACACTTAACCAACTGAGCCACCCCAGCGCCCTGAGGATGTTTTCATATAAGGAAGAAGCCTGGTTTCATCTGAGAGAGGAAGTGGTGGCAAGGAACCTTTCTGTTCTGGTGAGCTCCTTACTGTGTTCTCCTAGTTGCATTTTGATCACCTGTCTTCCCCCATTAGTCCAGGAGATACGTGAGAGCAAGGACCCAAGGCACCCTCAGAAGCAAGCCTCAAATGTTTGCTAACTGAACTGCTAAGCCAACAGATTCTCTTCTTTATTATAAATCATCAATGCCAGGGTTTATGTTATGGCCATGAATGTCAGCTCTCAGAATAATGCTTTAATGTGCCTGAAACACAGTGATCCCAGAAGCGTATACACAGAAAACATTTCCACGTCTCTGGATATCCCAGGTACCAGTCCCAGCTTAGAGTGGCTAATAAAGTAGGAAGTATGAGAACCTCACAGCCAATCTAGGAGGCAGGGAGTCAATTCCAGGTCATTCACATGGAAATAAAACAAGTTCTTTTTAGGAAAGAAAAACTGAGGGGCAGCTGGGTGGCTCAGTTGGTTAACTACTGGCTTTTGGCTCAGCTCACCATCTCTAGTCCTGGGACTGAGTGTGACATCAGGCTCCCTGATGTCTGCTTCTCCTCCCACCTTTGCCACTCCCCCTGCTTGTGTGCTCTCTCTTTCACTCTCTCTCTCAAATAAAATCTTATAAAAAAGAAAGAAAAACTGATATTACTGCTTTTTTAAAAACCAAGGCTAGGGGGTGCCTGGGTGGCTCAGTGGGTTAAGCCTCTGCCTTCAGCTCAGGTCATGATCTCAGGGTCTTGGGACCGAGCCTGAATGGGGCTCTCTGCTCAGCGGGGAGCCTGCTTCCCCCTCTCTCCCTGCCTGCCTCTCTGCCTACTTGTGATCTGTCTGTCAAATAAATAAATAAAATCTTTTTTTTTAATAAATAAAATATTAAAAACAACAACAACAAAGCTAGGGGCGCCTGGGTAGCTCAGTCGTTAAGCATCTGCCTTTGGCTCAGGTCATGATGTGATCGAGCCTTGAATCAGGCTCCCTGCTCAGCAGGAAGCCTGCTTCTCCCTCTCCCAGTCCCCCTGCTTGTGTTCCCTCTCTCGCTGTGTGTCTCTATCAAATAAATAAATTATATATATGTATATGTGTATATATATGTGTGTGTATATGTGTGTATATATATATATATATATATATATATATATAGGCTAATTACAACTGAATTTAAAAAAATAAAAATACACATGCCCAAATAACCCAATTTTAAAAATGGGCAAGGTAACTTGAACAGACATTTCTCCAAAAAAGATATACAAATGTCCAATAAACACGGGAAAATATATTCCACATTATTAGCCATCAGGGAAATGCAAATCAAAACCACAGTGGGATGCCACTCTGCACCTACTATGAAGGCTGTAATGAAAAGGACGGACAGTAGCAAGTATTGACAGAGATATAAGGAATTAGAGCCCTTATACTCTGCTGGTAGAAATGTAAGTGGTGCAGCCACTGTGGAAACAGTCCGGCAACTCCTCAAATGGTTAAACATAAAGTTACCATATAACCCAGCAACTCCACCCCTAGGTAAATACCCATAAGAAATGAAAACATATTCCACATAAAAACCTGTACGTGAATGTTCACAGCAGCATTATTTTTAACAGCCCCAAACTGGAAACAATCCAAATACCCATCAACTGACGAATGGACAAGTAAACAGAATATAACCATTATAATGGAAACTTATTTGGCAATAAGAGGAATGAATTTCTGATACACGCTACAACATGGGTGAAGCCTGAAAGCATTAAGCTAAGGAAAGAAGCCAGACACAAAAGGTCATACATTGTAAGATTCCATTTATATGAAATATGCAAAATAAGATAAAGCTACAGAGACAAAGTAGCTTTTTGGTTGCCTAGGCCTAGGGGGATGAGGGTGATAGCTATGGGTGGGGTGGTTCTTTTGGGAATAATGAAAAATGTTGTAAAATTGTGGTTATAGTGGCACAATTCTGTGAATATACTAAAATCCACTCAATTTTACACTTTATTTTTGAAAAAGATTTATTTATTTGAGAGAGAGAGTGAAAGAGAGAGAGCACAAGCAAGGGGAGAGGCAGAGGGAGAAGCAGGGAACCTGACTGTGACGGTCGTTCCCAGGACCCTGGGACCGTGACCTGAGTCGAAGGAAGACACTTAACTGACAGAGCCACCCACGTGCCCCGAATTGTATACTTTAAAAGGAGGAAATGCATGGTTTGTGCATCTCAACAAGACTTTAAAAAAAACTGGAGCGCTTGGGTGGCTCAGTTGGCTGAGCATCCGACTCTTGGTTTGGGCTCAGGTCATGATCTCAGGGTTTTGAGATCGAGCGCCCCCCCTCAGGCACTGCGCTCAGGCACTGCGCTAGGCAGGGAGTGTGCTTGAGATTTTCTCTCTTCCTCTATCTCCTCCCCCTGCTCGTGCAAGTGGGCGCGCTCGCTCACGCACTCTTGCTCTCTCTGCTTCAAATAAATAAATCATCCCCCCCCCACCGCCAACCCCCTGCCCTGCCCAAATTAAAGCTAACACAGAAACAGTAATTCTCAAATAAGGGTAGTGTTATTCCTCCCTCACAGGTTTAGAAATGCCTGGGCAGGGGATGGGGGGAGGGGAGCAGGGACGCCTGGGTGGCTTAGTCAGTTAAATGTCTGCCTTTGGCTCAGGCCATAATCTCAGGCTCCTGGGATAGAGCCCCTTCTTGGGCTCCCTGCTCAGTGGGGAGTCTGCCTCTCCCTCCAGCTGGCTAGCGCTCTATCTCTCTCAAATAAATAGAATCCTGAAAGAGAAATACCTGAGAGTGTCCCTACATTGTCCCAATGACAAAACTGGCCACTGGCACCTACTGGACAAGAAACAAGGACAATCCTACACAAATAATCCACAGGCACACACCAAAATGCAGTTTATAACACAATCGCATTGAGAAATACTGGTTCTGGGTAACTACAAGTTCAATTTACAAACTGTTCGGGAGGTGCCTACTATGTGCGACATGTCAGTGCTAAGGGCAAGAAATGTAAGGGAAACTGATACAGGCTTCTACCTGACCCAGAACTTGTTGAGACAGATATTCATACCACAATAACGCAGAAGTCACACTGTTAGGAGTGCCCAAATAGGTGGGGGGCAAAGTGATGTGGTGCAGGTCACAGCACACCCCAACAAGCTGTCAGCCAACAGGCATTACCCCATTTCTTTGCAGGCAAAACCCCAGTTTTGTACGTGGTCATGCTGCTCCCTCACTGTGATCTAGAGGTAAGTCCTGACTGGTCTAAACCTGTCCAACAAAGCAGCCACCAGTTGCTAGTGGCTATTGCACACTTGGAATGTGACTCTTCTGGGGCACCTGGTGGCTCAGTTGGTTAAGCATCAGACTTTTTTTTTTTTAAGATTTTATTTATTTATTTGACAGACAGAGATCACAAGTAGGCAGAGAGGCAGGAAGAGAGAGAGAGAGAGGAGAAAGCAGGCTTCCCAAGGAGCGGAAAGCCTGATGTGGGGCTCGATCCCAGGACCCCAGGATCATGACCTGAGCCGAAGGCAGAGGCTTTAACCCACTGAGCCACCAAGGCGCCCCCAAGCATCAGACTCTTGATCTCAGCTTAGGTCTTGATCTCAGGGTCAGGAGTTCAAGCCCCACAGTGGGCTCCACATGTGGAGCGGGAAGGGAAGAGAGAGAAGAGAAACTCTTCTGAATTGAGATGTGCTATGAGTGCAAAATACCACATGGATTTCAGAGACCTTGTACAAAAAAAGAATTCAAAATATTTCAGTAATAATTATTAGGATTATATGTTAAGAAATATTTTTAATATAATTTATCTAAACTATTTTACCAAAATGAATGCCAAAATGAATTTTTAAAAATACTAGAAAACTTAAAAGTACAGCTGTGACTCACAGGATATCCCAATTGGACAGCACTATCATCCATTGTGGGACTTTCCTACCAGTAACAGACGGGGTTGGGGTCAGGGCAGGGGTAAGCCATGTGTCCTGGTTCTGGATAATGACATGTGGGGGCCTTTGGGCAGCTTCCAGGATGGGTGTCTTTGTTCTTGGTCACACCAAACTACACATACGATAAAAACTACACAGACAAAACACACACATACTAAAATTGGAAAAATCTAAAGGTCAGTGGACTGTATCACTGTTATTTTCTGGTTATGATACTCTGCTATGGTTATGCAACAGGTAAAAGGTACTGCCGATCTCTCTTATTATAATTGCATGAGAATCTATGATTATCTCAAAATTAACCGTTCAAAGAGACAGAAAAGAAATGAAGGGAAGAGGAGGTCCTCTTCCCACTGAGTGGGCTCCACATGTGGAGCGGGAAGGGAAGTACTGGCCACTGTGCGCCCTGCAGCGGACCCCAGTACTGCAACAACTATGGGATGAATGGCTGAAAGTCAGGCTGAATAGAACCAAGAACCAGAGAAGAGGAACAGGCCAAATTCAGGTCCCTGCTCCCATCACGGAGCTGCTGGATTAACCAGCCCAGAGCATGCACCACAGGACTTTCTGGAGCAGTTAACTTTCCCTTTTTGAAGCAAAGCTGAGTTGGGGGTTTCCTTACTTGCAATCAAAAGCGACCTCACCAGTATGAATGGTGACTGCAGAGAACACGGAAGAATGTGATTCACTGAGACCAGGGCATGGGGAGTTTCAGAGAAGACTCAGGAGGACGGGTGCCTTAAGTAGAAGAGGCTTCCCAAGCAGGAAGAGGTGTGATGTTCCTGGGAGAATGTGATGCCTCTCCCTAAGGTTAACAGGAATTTAACTCAACAATTAGCTTTGAGTACCCTAGCCACAGTCCAACTTAGAGTCAACTGGTAGTGGACCCTGAGGTGCAGTGCACGAGACAAAGGGGGCAAAGCTGTTCCACTGCACCTCAGGGTCCAAAGCTGTTCCAAAGAGGCTGGTATCCAGCCCGGGTGGGGGAGATGTGATGGTGATCCTGGGAGGTGCTGCAAAGAACTTCTGAAACGAAAAAGCCTGCACAGAGACAGAAGTACTTCCAGTTTCTGAAAGAGGGTATTATCAGTGTAACTCATGCCCATCCCCAAAACTACTCCAGAGGGGTTCACCAGAACCTGGTGTGTGTGTGTGTGTGTGTGTGTGTGCACCAAAAGGAGAGCAGTGCGCCCCAGGAGCCAGCGTGGAGGCCAGAGAAACTGCCATGTCAGAGAGTGTGCTTCCTTTCCCACCAGCTGGCAGGGAAAACAACAAGGAAGTACAAGTCCTCTCCAGAGGGCCTTCTTTTCATTTTAAAAATAATTCTTAAGGCAGCCTTTGACATACAAGGCCTCAGGGATACAAAGATGACTCACAAGTCTGTGGTTCTGAAGCCCAAAGGCGAAGACATCCAGGGCAGCTGATTCGAGCATTAACCACAGCATTAGCTGAGGCAAACACTTGCTCTGCACCAGGCCCAGGAGCACTGTCAACTATTTTTAGTCCCCTGCGCGCTGTGAGAGGCAGGCACTTATTAGCTCCATTTTACAGATGAGGAACTGAGGCACAGGCAATCAGAAGACTACTTACTGTTACTGTTTAGATTGTTTCCATCTGTGCATGTCTTACCTTCTCGGTAACAGGTAAAACTAAAACTAGCAGCAGCAGCACCACAAGGGACAAAGAGAAAACACCAAGGAAAATAGAAGACATCAAAACATAAAAGCGAAATTACAAGAAAAGCAAAAATCAGCTACTCACAACACAAGAAAAGAATGAAATTTCTACTTCATGATGCACGAAACCCATGTGACCATTTACCCAAATCCACTAGCACACAGAACACACAATCCAATCTCACATATAAACAAAGGCAAAAACACTAAAGACTAGTAAACTTAATACGATGGAATATTTTTCCACTTTAATTTTTTTTAAATATTTTATTTATTGATTTGACAGACAGAGATCACAAGTAGGCAGAGAGGCAGGCAGAGAGAGAGGGAGGAAGCAGGCTCCCTGCTGAGCAGAAAGCCCGATGTGGGGCTCGATCCCAGGACCCTGGGACCATGACCTGAGCCGAAGGCAGAGGCTTTAACCCACTGAGCCACCCAGGTGCCCCTCACTTTAATTTTTAAAAAAATGCATTTTGAAGATCTATTTATTTGAGAGAGTGTGTGTGTGCACACACACAAGCAGGGGAGAGGGGCAAGGGAGAGGGAGAGAAGCAGACTCCCTGATGCGCAGAGCCTCATGTAGGGCTCAATCCCATGGCTCAAGATCGCGACCTGAGCCAAAATTAAGAGCCAACGCTCAAACGACTGAGCTGCCCAGGCGTCCCTACAATGGAATATTTTAAAAATAGCTCATGATGAAGGAGGGGTTAATCCAGAAAGGGAAGAGACTTGTAATTAACAGGCTACTTTGAAAAACCCATATCATAAAATTTAATTGACAGTAATATGGCCTTTAATGAAATCCACTCATTCCTGATTAAAATTTACAAATTTAGAGAGCAACATCAGCAA